GAGACCTATAATATATTAATGAAAAACAATATAATAGGGGACTTTTACATGTCTTTAAAAGGCCAGTACTACTGTATAATATCTGAGGGTTCACCAGGGTTTGTAAATTGAAAGCATAGCTGTTCAACAGCGAGGACCAAGGCCACTGAGACCATCAAAACCAATTAATATATTTTAAAAAGATTCTGAAGCATTGTCAGTGTTGAGGTTTTAAAATTAGTCTAATGTGTTCTCTTTGTGGTCATGATGATACTGAGGTCATATCAAAATACTAAATTACTGTAATTTGTTGTTAAGAAGAAGATTAACCTTTATTGATTCAGTTGAAATTCAGCTTCCACTCTGTTTTATACACAGAGGTATGCACACACGCACATGGAGAGTCAGCCAGTCGGTCTGGGTCCAGTTGGGGGTTTGTCGCCTTGCTCAATGGCATCTCAGCAGGGCCCAGGAGGTGAACTGGCACCTCTCCAGCTACCAGTCACGTGGTTATATTTTTGGTCTGACTGATCATTTCCGGTTTTGCGGCGTGATGCAGTGCTGGAATTGGGCCGGTACTCACCGGTACGCAGTACCGGCACTTCTAATTTTTACCCATGTGGTACCGGCACTATTTTTTTTTATACGTATGTATTGTGAACGCAACGCTGCGCAAATGTGGGTCTGACTCTACCTCACAGAGGATGACTGGCTGTCTCCATGATGTGGCCTGCCGACATGGAGAATCGTCGCAATATATGCGACGCGTCGATGCGTCACATATAAATATATATATATATATAGCGAAGCTTGCAGCATTTTTATAAACAGCATTTTTGTTAACAGAGGATCAACAAAAATGGCACCATGGTCCGCCGAGGAAGTTACGACGTTCCTACACTTTATTGCAGATGACAAGATCCAGCGGGAGCTCGACGGGACAACTCGCAATATGAAAATATTTCAGGAGGTCTCTATACTGATGTGCGGAAGCGGTTACTCCAGGACTATCTTGCAGTGTAGGGAAAAACTGAAAAAGATGAAGAGTGAGTATCGCGTAGTGAAGGACAACAACAAGCCAATCGCTCCGCCTACACTGCGTTACTAGATACTACCCCAGTTCCTAAACTGTAATGGAGACGTGCCATAAAGTGAGCCAGTCCTAACGAGCGAGCCAGTCCTAACGAAGTGAGCCAGTCCTAACGAGCGAGGCCGTGTAGTGGAAACGCGCCATTAGTGTATGTGTGGCGCGAGTGAGCGAGTAAGCGCGCGCACCGGTTACGTGTATTGTTGTTAGCATCTGGTGCTAGCTAGCTGCGCTAACGGATATAAGGTATGGGCTCATAACAGTCTCATAATACACACATGCACACAGAAGGATTCACACTTGTATTTCATGATCCGCAAAAGGATTCATACTTGTATTTCCGGATCCACACTTGTGTTTTTCAATGCACACACAAATGTGTGCCGTTTCATATACATGTAAATAAAATCCAAATACAGAAAAAAGTCTTACATATGTATTTTTGATCCACACATATTTGTTTTCCGTTTAAATCCCCTGAACCTGCAAACACAAACCGCTTCCTGTGCACGGATCGCTGTGCATTCGTGTGTGGGTTTTTTGAGACTCCCCTGACAGTCAGCCGATTCGTACTTGTAATATTTTCTATAGCCAATCAGATGTCTCCTCAATTCTAAGCCAATCACATGAGTGCGCCCCCACGAGGGTAGATTTCTTGCGTTCATGACGTAGCGCTTCATGTACGCATTTTGCGCAGTCCGGAGCTGACAGGTCCATGGAACCTGCCTGCAGGCGCTAATGACACCTCCACTCTCAGTACAGCCCCACTTTCCGAACAGGAAATGCACGCAAATACAAGCCTTTATATTATTAAGGCACCGCGCCACTTTCCGAACCATTGATGAATGCTTGTGTACACAAAAACGGCAGGCAAAACCGTTATAAATGTGTGTTTCCTGTGTGGCGAATACAGCTGCTTTATTTATGTCTGTATGAAGTTGTTGTGAGTGTGGAGGGAGCAGCTACAGGTTAGCTTAGCCTAATCGATCAGTGCACTACGAAGCCAGTGCTAGACAGTGAACTGTCAACGGGGTGAGCCCCGCCGGTCATTATCGGCCGATATTCACTCTTAATAGTTTGATCAGTGCTCTCTATAAAGGCCGATCAGGAGAGCTGGCTGCTTCTCAGGTCGATTAAATGAAATCCTTGCTTCCCTCACTTACGTCGTTTCCCTGCGTTTAGTCCCTCCCGCCACCAGGGAAGCATGGAGGGACGCAAGGAAACCACGAGAAGCAGGGAAATGAGTTTTAAGAGCAATGGGACGTCCTTTCCTCCGGAGCGTCACGTGAAGCGACTTCCGTTTGTGATGACGCTGCACAGCTGTTCGTCTGGCAGCAGCCAGCTCTGTACCCGTTATTTCCACAAACACCCCCGCCTCTGTTAGTGCACATTTACTGACATAAACATTAGTATCATCTGTTGTAGATCCAAATACATGAAATAAAATAAGAAGTCATTCTCAAAAAAGATAAACGCCATTCTTAAAATGTATTTAAACTAACAATAGTTTGATTAATATTGATTAGAGTGCACAATAGGAATACAATTATTCAGAGAACAAAAACAGATATGTTATCTATCAAAACCCAGTTAGATTAACATTCATTGGACTGCACACTTTGTTTGTTTGTGTGGAGCAAATTAACATTTTAAATAGGACTTAATGACTGCGGTTTGGCAGCTGAATTAAAAGCTAAGCAGATCAGTGCATGCACTGCCTCGTCCAATCAGTGAGCGATACACAGTAAGAGGGCGGGGTGAGTATCTGAGGATTTCATCGGAGGATGATCTGGTGGTTCCTCGGTTATTGCTCCTCCATGATCGCTCCTCGATCCTTGGTCCTCCGGCAGAAATAAGAGCCATGGGACGGTACTCAAGATGGCGCAGGCAAATCAACTTCCGGTGAGATCGAGGACCGAGGAGCGAGGAAATGAAAATAGTCGACCTGAGAAGCAGCCCTTGCGTCTCTCCATGCTTCCCTGGTGGGAGGGACTAGTCGCAGGGAAACGACGCAAGTGAGGGACGCAAGGATTCCATTTAATCGACCTGAGAAGGACCCTGAGTCTGATGGAGAAGCAGCTCTGCATAATCACCTGATGCTCCGCCCTCTGTTTAGCGAGCTGACCGGACAGCGCAAAATGCGTATATGAAGCGCTACTTCATGAACGCAAGAAATCATACCCTCGTGGGGGCGCGCTCATGTGATTTGCTTAGAATGAAGGAGACATCTGATTGGCTATAGATAGAAAACATTACAAGTACGAATCGGGTGAGCGTCAGGGGAGTCTCAAAAAACCCACACACGAATGCACAGCGATCCGTGCACAGAAAGCGGTTTGTGTTTGCAGGTTCAGGGGATTTAAATGGAAAACAAATATGTGAGGATCAAAAATACATATGTAAAACTTTTTTCTGTAATTGGATTTTATTTACATGTATATGAAACGGAACACATGTGTGTGTGCATTGAAAAACACAAGTGTGGATCCGGAAATACAAGTGTGAATCCTTCTGTGTGCATGTGTGTATTATGAGACTGTTCTGAGCCCATAATAAGGAGCTGTTTCAACAACAAGGTGGGGGGAGAGTCCTCTGCTGTCAGACTGAGAGGCTGATAACTACAGCTCAGGTGAGGTAAATTACTCTGAGTGTTTAGATAGTTAACTTAGTCTAAGTTATCTCAGTGGGTCTCAAACGGTTCGGTCACCATTTATGTAAACACATATTTCCATTTGAGGGGGTAGTGATTAGTAAAATATGCATGAATAATACAAATAAAATGTTAACTAGGTGAAAAAAGGTAAGATAAACTTGTTGAGAGCTAAATCTTTGCTGCTGCCTCAAAGAGGAGCAGGGGGAGAGGAGGGAGACAGGTGAGGCTGGTTCAGGGCACATACAAGTTTCAATGTTTTTTCATATTGAATATGGTATGGTATTTGTTATGGCCATACTTATGATTTTATGATTATTTAAATGTATACAGTTCTGTTTGATATGGGTGTAGTCTCTTTATTTCCCCCTCAAAGTGAATCAGATTGATGCATTTAAGTCCAACATGCCCCCGGACCCCCCTATAGGATTTGAGGTCCACCCCCACTTAAAATATGTTCACATGGATAGGTTCCTAAATAGATTTGCAATTTTTTTTAAATAGTAATCCATCTCCATATGTTTATTTTTGGGTAGTAGATTTAAACTAGAGGGCTATCACTATGGGCAGCAACACTGTAAATATTGACAAATAAATCCAGCAAAATGGCACAAAAAACTGGTAGTGGCCTGGCTGGGTGTATAATTCCTGGCCTGAATTATTGTCCCAGTCCGGCCTTGATTGACGCATGACAACAAATATGCCCAGCGTACCTATGACGCGCCGCAGCGATAGACTAGAGCAGAAAATACATCACATAACGTTAGCATTTAAAAAATGTTAGCGTGGCTTAATGATAGTGCGAAAAGACAGCGGTTGTCGCCGGACAAGGATTCCCTGTCTCCTTTCCTGCTGAAAGATGGTGAGTGTACTCAGGGACGAGGAGTCATTTAACCAGCAGCCAGTAGGAGTCAGGCTTTACTTTCTTTTATATCCATAAAGAAAAAGTAAATCTGTTTACAGTTGTTTCATATGGATGTTGAGAGGTATCCATATATCTCTTCATTTTGCCCTCAAAGTGCACCAGATTGATGCATCTAACTTCAATATTTAAAAAAAAATCTTGCCGGGGGAGCATGCCCCACTATATTAAAGCTGACCACAAAGAGGCGATTTATTCCTTGCTTTTATGGAAAATTACGGGGATTTTCTATCAATGCAATAATGAATGATCAATATGATTACTTCATAAAAGTAGACATTAAATCGTTTTTCTACCTAATTGATGCTTTCAAAAGCCACTTCCTGCCATAAATATCAAAACTGAAATAATTCAAATAAAGGTTATTTTTAAAGCATTTATTGGACTTGAGCCAACCTTTTAGCAAACACTTTATAAATGGAAAAGTTCATGAAAACAACATGGAATAGTATTGCCTTTTCTATTTTAAATGACAAGAAGGACATTTCTTAATAGAATGGGTATAAAAATGTAACTGTTAAGCTAAAGCTTTTTTAAAACAACATTATGGCGATCACACAGAACCCCACTTTTCACTTAAACCATTTGAATAATTGTTGTTAATGTAAAGCTGCAGTGCAATCAAAATACATATACATTTAAGTGTATATACAAGGGGGCAAATTCAGATTGCAATTCATAATCGCTGAACACATACTAGGAACTAATATTCAAGATGGAATTTCCCATTCCTCCCAATGAAATATATTCAGTCCATCAATCGATTAGTCATGCCAAGTGCCATCAGGAGCTTCTGATGAAAGGCCGGCACTCTCTCCTTATGGACAGGCCAATCCAAAATGCAGCATGGACGCAACATGCCCCTGCGGAGGTAGAGTGATCGGGATAACTTGTAGTCGTGAACATCCTGCAGGAAGACCAGAATCACAGAGTCCCTGTTGGCTTCAATGTCCCGGTGAATTGCATGTTGGGCGATAAATCTGGATAAGGAAAAGAAAAGGGTAAAAGAGACACAAATCTGTGAGAACTAATTTTATCAATATGTAACATAAATACCGTATGAAACCCATACCAAATAAACTACACATCACACATTTCCTAATGGCATATTTTAGATTTTGCTTGATTCTGTATAAGTCTAAATCCAGCAGTGTTTGTTTGATTTACCTTGTACACCAGGGGTCTCTGAGAAGGGTTTCAGTGACGACAAACAAGATTTTTCTGGACTTTTTCATATTATCCAAGATTGAGGCAGGCTGTGACATACCTGGCAGTGAATCTCGGTCCTCCAAACAAAACTTGCACTTGTCATTCTCTAAAGGGGAAAGTCTCCTCTCCACCCAGCTGCTGTCTTGCTCTGCATGTATGATGTAAGCATCATACTTAAATTCCCGGCCCTCTGCAACGTGGGCATTGCTAAATCCTAATGTGCGATTGATCAATATGTTCCAATAAAACAGAATCCTCCAGCCTTGGTACCGCACCACAAATGCAGTAACCATCAGCATGACGACAGCAGTGCTGCTCAGTATGTATAGGGTCTGAAATGGAGTCATGTCTTTGCAAGAAAGGGGGTCAAACTCCATGATGGAGCGGTTAAAGTAAGCTAGTGGAGTGTTGCACAGATACTGGTCCCTGAGACCCGGCACATGGGTCATATTTGTTTTATTTAACCATGTCACAAACCACAGCATGGTCTCACAGGTACAGTCAAATGGATTTTTGTCCATGACAAGCAGGCTGAGGTTGGCCAGAGGAGTTTTGAACACTTCTGGTCTCACAGCTGTGATCAGATTCTTCTGTAAATTTAAAACCCGCAGTGAGTCCAGATCATCAAAAATTGTGTCCTTAAGACGATTAAAAAGGTTGGAGGACAGGTTGAGGTTACGGAGGTTACCCAACCCTCTTAGAGCCTCTGCTGGTATCTCATCGAGCCCGTTACTATCCATCTGAAGAGTTACCAACCTGGGTGTGTGTTTAAGGAACAACACTGGCCCACCAAGGTTGGCACTCTTCCACAAACGGGCTATGTTATTGTGCTGGAGCTTCAACACTTTCAGTTTTGCAAGACCCTTCAACATATCTTCTCTGATATTAGCAATGTTGTTGTTGCTGAGATCCAGGAAAGTGAGGTTGGTCAGGGGGCTGAATGGAGAGGGATCCAGGTTCACAGCTTCGGCCTTAAGACTTTTTCTCAAAGTCAGGACTCTAAGGTTGGGCACGTTAACAAAAGACGTGGACTTTAGATTGACTGTCTGCTGGTTATTCGACATGTAAATCTCTTCAACTTGATCCAAGCCTTCAAACTCCTTCCCAGTTAGAATTTGCTTGATAAAGTTGTAATCTAGGAGAAGCGTGGTGAGGTTTCTCAAGACAGAGAAGCTTTGAGGATCAATCTGTGCAATAGCTGTTCCGGTGAGATTTAGCCTTCTGAGAGGCGACCCCGCCAGTGAGACTAAGGTCTTGTTGTTTATGTTTCTGAGCGAGCTATAGCTACTCCAGCTCATATCGAGTTCTTTAAGACTTGTCAAGCCTGTAAATGTGTGCTCTGTGATTTCTTGAGCTGCTGTTCTCTGTAATATCAAACTCTCCAGGGCACTTAAGGGTTGGAAGGAGAAATCTCCGATAGTTGGGGCGTCTTTTTTCACAAAAGCTTTTGTCATTTGGAGTTTTTTCAAACTTTTGAGGCCCTGAAATGTGTTCTTGTTTAGTTGCTTAATCTTGTTGTCAGACAAAACAAGGGTCTGAAGCCTGGACAGCCATAGAAATGAGTCATTTTCAATGTTAACCATGTCATTATGGGACATATCCAAATAGGTTAGATTTGTTTTCTGTAGCGCTTTAAAGGTTGCGTTTGTGAGTTTTGCCAGCTTCATCTTCCGGAGATACAGGGCCTCAATAGTGGTCGCTGACAACTCTGAGCAGAGTTCAGAAAAACCTAGTGTGTCCATATTGCTTCCATCCATGATTAAAGTACGTAGGCCTGAAATGGGTTTAAAGCTGCCAGGCTCCAACTGCAACACAACAAAACAAAGATATCTTGTAGTGCGATGAAAAAAAGGAAACAAAACAGACAACTGAAAGCATGGCTCTCCATTGACTACTTTCTATCCCTGGTTCCAGTTTTGACAACAATATTTCCTTTCCTATTGCTAGGTAAGTTTCTTACCGTTTTTAGAGGCACACATGACATGTTGAGGACAAGTAGAGAGGATGAATTGTTAAGAAATAAAAAGTCGTCTTTCTTCAGAGTAGTGAAGTCATTTAAAGCCAGATTGAGGCTCACGAGGTTGGGCAGCTGAATCTGAGTGCCGAGCTTGGCTGACTGCAGTTTGTTTAAGGACACATCAAGGACTTGAAGTCTCTATGAATGATGAAAGGAGAAAAAAAATACATTTAGTTATTTAATTAAATATTTAAGAGGCATATCAAAATATTGTAGTGAAATAATGAGGCAGAAAAATAACTATTCACTTATTTTACTCATTTTTGTCACCATTATCGCACCCATATAGCTCATGAACCTTACAATAAACGTATCTCCAGCTATTTTTGATCCAACTCATCAGTGTGGCATCTGTACCTGTAGTGCAGAGAAGGGATCTCCTTGTAGCTTTAGCTTATTACTAGCCATAATCAACCATGTTAGATTGGTGCAATGATTCACGTCCTCCTTCTTCAGCACATGCACTTGATTGTGTCCCATGTTCAGTGTCTGCAGCAGAGGCAGTGCCTGGCACAGTCCCGGATCCAGCCTGGTGATACTGTTGTAACTGACACTGAGACGGCAGAGGCCCGGGTATGGGGATAGAGACACAGGGGGGATGCTTTTCAATCTGTTGTGAGACAAATCTAGGCTGATGATGTTGCTGGGAAGGTTTTGAGGGACCGCACTGAGGCTGAGGTGGCTGCAGTCAGCTATGCTGTCATGCACATGGCAGGAAGTCTTCCTCGGCAAAGCTACGCAATTGTGCGGTCCCGGCATCAAGCAACATATGATGATCATCGTCGGGAGAAGGCAATTTAGGGCATTCATCGTGTCAAAAACCTTTAAAAAAAGAGAAAGAAAAACAATCTGTGTAATCCAAAATCTACGTACTTTGTGTTTGTTTGGCAAATTATAGGAAGCACAAGCACAATAACACTAGTATTGTATTAACTAATATGTAAATATGGCAAGTATGTTAACAAACAGCTACCTGTGTACAGATCCATAAGATAAAGAGAAACATTAGGAAATATTTGGAGTTGTGTTTCTGACAAAGTACAATATTTACTCCTCCTTTAGCTCTGTCTTGACTAACTCGTAAGACAAATATCTGCCTCTTTAGCTGCTAAATATTCCACCATGTGTTCCAGCTGGTTGCTAGCTTTTTATCTGGGATCATATATTAGCCTACAGTGTTTTTTAAAAGATTTTTTGCTAAAACCTCTGCCTTACACTTCTGAGAGTAAATCAAAACAGGAAAGTTGCTTAGGCTGTCTAACTGATGCAACAAGCTAAAATACACTAAATGCTTCAGAGAGGTGAGGGGCCCTGAGTTCGGTTATGTGATCAATTTTCGTTGTATCACTATGATGACCAATATTGGTCATGTAATTCACAGTCATTTGATCTATTGTTGATATAACATATTAATTAGTGCCACTATGATACAAAACATATACGGGCCATTCTACCGAATTGGTGCAAAGTCAGGTTGAAACAGTTTTGAAATGTTGTATGTTTTTTCCCCAAAACTTTGTCCATATATATTTTGTACCATATCTAAATTACACATATCTAGTAAAATAACCGTACATTTTCATATCGTATTTTCAGACTGTATTGGAATGTTCTTCCTCTACCAAAAATGGTCACTACCGAAACACTGCCACACTGTAGTAAAAAAGTATTATATCAACCTGTTAAGATTGTTTTACCTTCCCTTCTCTAAATAGTATTTCAAAAATACAAAATATTTCTTGAGGGTTTTCACAATTAAATCAATGCAATTTAATTTGTAATCAAATTTCAAAGCTCAATTTATACAATTCATAATGCAAACTTTCTTTGTAAAATGCATAATACTGATCATATTGATTCCATAGTTGATGATTGTTGAAATTGAACATACATTAAACCAATTAGTATCATATCATTTTAGTTGATAAGTCAATATACTTAATTTTTTACAAAACATCCAGTGTTTCGGTAGTGACCACAGTATTTTGCTCTCAAGGTTGTATCATATTCCCTCAAATGTATTGCTTAATCTTAACTCATAACAAGCCTTGTGTTGAAGTGTGAATGTTTTAAGCTACTGACCCAGCATCAGCACTTTAGTAACAGGCTGAAATAGAGGGGAATGAGGCTAGAATGCATGATCTGTTTGGTATTTTGAGCAAAACACTTCATAGCCATGCTTTTTATATATCTGAGATCAGGGTTGGGGACAGCTACTTCCCAATAGAAAGTACCCCATACATGATGTTTTTGTATATATTAAGCTTATCACTATATCATGTAATGCCTTGTGTTTAAATAGACCATAACATATTATTAGTAAATATCTATGTCTGAATACTTAATTGTTTTGTTAAATAGTTTTTCTTGTTGTGGGACGGCACTTTGTACTAATTTGGTAGAATGCCCCATACATGTGTTTTAGTGAGGAAAATAGTTATATTTCTCACAAATATAATAACTAATACATTTAAAAAGCTGCCTACAGAAATCTATTTTCCACAGGCATATAGTAGGCCTATAAGGCTACTTTTACGGTAGGCATATGGGTATTACTAGGAATCATAAAATCATAGTGTCACATTTTCACAATAAACACTATTGTGTAGCTAACGTTTTGCATATAAAAGTTGCAGTTCTTACCGGATTTTTCCTTGCCATTTTATATTTTGAATCTAGACTTCATGGACTTGAAACCGAAGGCATTCACTTCCAGAACAACATATGTTCCTCAGCAGCACAGCAAAGAGTCTAAGTAGAGGTTTATGAAGTACACGCTGCAAAGCAAGAATATACGGAAGTGAGACATTTGAAACTCGGGTTTCACTTCCCCAGCATTGTCTCTAGGTCCACAAGAGAATGTAACTGTTCCATGCAAGCGTATAAACAGACGCCGAAGGAACTTTGAGTTAAATTCTAACTCACTTCCTACAAACAGAGAGCAAACCTACAGTTTGATCAAGTTCCTAAGATTGCGTGTCGCGCATGAAATAAATATGTCTAGACAGCGGTAATGTTTTTGAAAGGCGTGGTGAAGACAGTGTTTGTACCTAGATGTACAAAACATACCGTAATGTAGACTATGAGGGATTTAAAGTTGAAGCCAGTTTACGGAGTTTGGTATTGTATTGGCGGCGAGTATCCCAATCGAACAATATCAGCGTAAACCGTGAAATTATCCGAAAATGATCGCCTAAAAATGAGCTTCAGATGTGTTGTGATATAAATAGATCAGCCTATCCGGTTAATGCTCTGCTAATTCGTGATGATGCACACCGTAAACAACACAAATACCGTTGATTTAATTGCGAGTAAAGTACAAGACATTTGGAGGAGCAAAACTGGCAGCAAGTTTACCCTGTAAGTAAGAAATGGCTGCTTACCTATTTGACTCCTCCCAGTTAACTCTGTGCTCTCTTATGAGTTATGTTCAGTTGTTTGAGGCATAGTTTAGGAGAAATATATTCTGGAAACTGATCACTGTACTCTGCACCTCTGACTTCTGGCTATTTGTGGGAAAAAACAGGTTGCCCCAGTCTGAAATGCCAGGCACAACAGTTCTGTCATTTACAAAGCAGTTATGTAACAAGCAATACCATCTTAAGGCATATGTGAAAGTTGACACCTTGATAAGCTATCCAAAACTTGATAATAGGGTCACATACAAACTCCAGTGGATCCATTTAAACATTATATATTTTGAATTGAGTAGAATGAGTCAACACGAAATAGCCTTATTCAGGATCAGACAGGATCAATTCTAGTATCACTTGATTTGTGTACTCCATAGTTCAACTATAATGCACACACCTTTTATAGTCTAGTAGGAAAGGTGATTCAAATAAAGTGTGACCAATAAATGTGTGTTTCTGTTTTAAGAACAGTTGCTGCCTAAAAAAATATGGGTGGCATCTCTGTGGCATGTGGTTCCCTAAAATACACACTGCACCAGTCCAGATGCAGAACTAAGAAAACCTGAGAGAAGAAAGCCTCTGTCTGTGCCCTGGTCAGTAGATCTGCAAAGGGGTACACACGTATATTAGTTTGCCTTACATGCATAAAAAAACAACATTTTACTGTATGTTTTCATTTAACTTTCACAGATTCATTGTTTCCCACAAATTGCAATAGTGCCTGCAGAAAGAATGCATCAAATCCATAACTTAAATTAAAATAGACTAAAATACAGTATGGGGGGCTGAAAATATGCCTATAAAAAGTAAAGCATATTCAAAAATATGCTTTATATACAAAGGGTAGATTTGCTGAACTTGAATATATACTTATTCATTTAAACACAACACACAACCATGCATTCATACACAAGCATGAGAGCTTCACAGCCTCAACACACTCTTTCATTGACCTTATGTGCCTCACTAAGGACACATTAAAGGTTATAGCGCAGTGGTAAAGTCCATTAACTCTCCTTTGGTCCAGATGTTAGGTCCAGAAAACAGGAATATGATAATAAATATAATAATGTAATTCTTTTTTCATATTTTCATTATGTTGCATAACTTTAAATCCTACTTTAAATGTCCTCATTCAACCCACAAGAGAAGTGGAACTTAAGTGAGATAAACTGGTCAAAAAAATAACTAGGTACGTTTTTTCAAGAACCACTAGAGGGCAGTCAAATACTGTTATTGAGCCAGTTACCATCACAGCAACAGTCCATTTAGGCCCCAGTTTAGTTCTTTCATTTATTTGAGGTGTGGAATTTTGTATTACTAAAGCCTTTTCGTCTACTTTATTTATAATTGCTCAAATAAGTATGAGCACTTAAGAACACAATGACTGAGACAATTATGAGACTAGAGGATCAACACAGGATCTGTGGGTTAATAAGACAAAAAACTAAACATTTATATCATACTAGGGCAGATGGTAACGATGTGACAGGAAACACAGGGAGAGACTGTTCTTTGTTTTATTTTGCCCTTCCTCTGGTGACATCAAGCTATTTTGGCAGAAGATGCCACCTGCAAAACTATGAAAAACATACATCCTGAGTCTACAATACATTTAGGCCATTTTGCTTTTTTGCTAAATAAACCCGAACCATGAATGACAGTTCATCGCTTATCTGTAAGATTGTATTGTTATTTTCTTGTTTAAAATGATTAGTTTATAAAAGAATATAAATGCATTTCCCCCAGTATATACAATGGAAGTTAATGAGGTGAACAGTATATATATCACAACAGTTCTAGGCTACAAGTAAGTGCATTATTGAGACAGTCCAAACACCAATAAATCAGACGATAACCAAATGGCCAAACCCATTTTGAAAGGTCAGCAGACATTTAAAAGCAGAAATGACCTGCATGTTAAATGAGTCATACATTGGAAGCAGAGTTAATCAACCTACACACTCTGCAATATCAAATTCAAAAGCAATTAACTCCTTGTAATTGATGGGGACGTGATGTACCATTTCATCCATTATAGTCAGTTATGTCTGTTCAAGTGTATTTCACTCCAACGGGAAAGACTTTAACATTCTGGTGACAGCTCAGTCACTGAACATATTTTCACTGGAATATCATGTCATTTTAAATCTTCAATCATATCATACAACCGAGACATTTGAACCACATTGGTCAATTAGCTTTCACACAACAGATCGCTTGTCTCACCATTCCAAAGTATAGTATTAATTCCAAGCCAACACTGACACGGTTCAAAGCTGTACTGTGTCAAAGTGCTGCTGAAATTAATGATGTATTTCACTTAAGTCCACAATGAATGGATACAAGCCTGTTTGTTTATATACACAGTACCATGTGAACACCCATTTTTAGCCTGCTAGCAGCTTAAGAGCTTTATGATGAGGCATGTCAGCTAACAGTATTTCCCCTTCTTTTCCTACTCTCTCTTTGCTAATATATTATGGATCATTTCAAGATTAATGGAGGGGGACACTGACCCTGTGACCTTTTATCACAGCACATGTTCTCCCTTAGGTACTTAAATTGTACACAAGGACAACTGTGCTGCAGATCTTTGTTAGTGTAACTACAATGTGCCCAGCAGGAAACCTTACGATGTCCCAACAAAAAGCAATTCTGCAAAAAACGTCTTCTCTTGTCCTCCATAGTATGTTGCGCTTGATCCTTTCCTCAGATTAATAGAGCAGGTCCGTCCTGGGATAGACCTCAGGCCACCTGATTGGTTTAGCCCGGTGCTAAGCCGAGGCAGTTTACAGGGCTTTGTGCCAATGGCTGGATTGTAGAAGACCTGTTCAAAGTGGAGAGAGCTACCATGGTCAGCTCTGTGGTGGTGGTCAAGTTAGGGATATGATAAATAAACAAGAGACAGGGGTTTTCTATCGCTATAAAATAAACAGAGTGCACGAGGCTCATGGAGACAGAAAGGGCCGTGATGAGAGCCAGAGCAAATGTTGCAGCAGGGAGTTGTTGCAGCTCGATTGTGCTTTAATATCAATCATAAAGTGCACTGTCAACCGCTCAGCCGAGGAAGGAGGAAAACCCTGTCATGAAACCTGACGGGAATTAGATGCACATCCGAGTCTCAAAGGAGAAACAACTCAGCACTGGAATGTGTGAGCAGAAACACCCTCACTGTACTGTGCTGTGGACTAAATGAAAGGCAATGCTGTACATGTTTCACTTAGCCTGAGAGTGGCTAGTGCATGTCATGCGTACGTGTGATTGAATCCACTCACGCAAGAGGGATAACTGGAGGGGGGCAGTAGCTCCATCAATGGAAGTGTGTGTGCCACATTCTTCATCTTACCGGCTCTGGTAAATCTCCTCTCCCTCATTTGCAGGCTGATTCTCTGGAGTGTTGGATTGCCTCTAAACCAAAGGTGAGTTTGCCCTCATAGCGTTTCACCGCTTTACATGGTGGATGTAAACCTTTGTTATGCAATCCTGTACATTTCCTCACTCAGTAAAATCATTATTGACATGTTCAAATCCTCACCACATACTAAAAAAAATCACTTTGTGCAATCCTATATATGTGTGTTTACCCCATAAACCTAATGAAGTGGCTAATGCAGTTAATTGCAGTCTCACAGCAGTGCATTGCAATTGTCTGACGAAATGGGAATCTACTGTATCTGTGCAGTTTATCAAGAGAAAGATTTCCGTAAAAAAGCTGTTGTCATTTAAGTCTGTTTTGCTTGACTTATTTTGCACTGATGTGAAAAGGGGGATACATGCACTGACAGATGGAGAGATTTTAGATGTGGAACAAGGAAAGGTTAATGGACGTACATGAACGCCGTAGGCAGAAGCAGCTGTAATGTTGTAGCATGTTGTCTCTGCCCTCTGCAGAAAAAAAGACACTGCAGTATATCTCCCCCTCCCCATTTCGCTGACCAATGATGTTTGGAGGTCAGGGGCACAGCTCTTCTACTGGTGTCAGCCACTGACACACAGCTTGTTCAATAACACTGTGGTTATAACACCTCAGAGGAAGGGAGGGGCGTATAGTTAAAAAGCAATCCATGTGCATCTACATTTCAATACCATGCTGGAGAGAATACAGAACACAACATGGATGATGGATGAATAATTCTGATGTTGTCCTTTATCACAAACATTACATAAATGGCTCCATTATGTTCCACACTGCATATAAAATTACAGTTGTGTTAGACTCAGCATTAAATGTCATGTTACTCTGTACAGATGTAGCCTCTACAGATAGTGGGATTTTCTATTCCTGCTTGTGATCAATGAAACCCACATGACAGCATAAAAACAACTTACTACGCCGGTGTAAATGATAGGATTACTTCACTTCATTGAAAATATACTCTGTCAGCAGCAACTGTTGTGCAATTATTGACACATTCATTGTATTTTCTTTTTTTATTTGAGCATTAGCTGATGGTATGTGCTCCTCATCACTGGCTAGTGCTCACTAAGTGCTGACTCAGGTCTCTTCTCACTAAAAGTGGTCCCCAGGGGAGACAGGACATCAATACTGAACTGGAATCAGCAGCATGGATCTACTACTGTGCTGTTAACTCTCTGCAGTGCGGCTCTGTAAAATGCAAGGAAAGATAATTCAGTGTAGTGAAATATGACAGATTCATGAAAACCTTTTTAGGGCTTTTACTTTTTGAAACTGTCGAATTGTCAACACCGGTTTAGCCCAAAGAGAAGCAAAAACATTCTTTTTTCTTTAACATATTTTACAATTATATGAAACAATTATAATCTTCACTTTGAGCAAATAGGGACATATGAGCTGTAAAACCTTTTTTTTTTTTGTTCTGCATAATGATAACATACTGTAGACTAGTCTAATAAGGCCTACTGTACATTACTTACAGGGACCATATATTTTAAACTGCATGAACTGATTTTCTGACCACTTGGGAGCAGCAGAAA